CCAGGTTTTTGTTTCAAGTCTTTGTTTTGTTTGCAAGCATTAGTACAATTGTTTGATCCTCCGAGAGATCATTTTTTGTTAGTAGTTTTATCCTCCTTGTGAGAGCTTTTATTTTGTACTTTTTCTCCTCCATTGAGAGTGCTTTTGTTTTGTGTGTTTTTTCAAGTAAAGATTTTTGTTAAACTTCACTACCGTCTCCAGAGTGTGCATTTGAGTCCCAGTCTTTGGTGTCACGTTCTCAACAGATAGTTGATAATGACTAAAATTAGGTGGTGAAAAAAGGGTATCCCCGATAGATATCGACATTGGTTATCAGCCAAATAAGTTGCTATATATCGGCATTGGCACATATCGGCAAAAACTCCAATATCATGCATCCCTAATTATTTAATATTTGCCTTTCTTGTTACTTATTCCATCGAGTTTCTTGTAGTGATGCTACTGCCCCACTTCTCACAACATGGTGAATAAAATGTTATTAGCAATAGGAATACCTTCCATCATTATGAAAAATAAACTGGAATTATTCTTAAACTTTCAATCTCTTCTGGGTTTTTTTACTTTCTTTCTTTTTTTTTTTTTTTAGCAAAGTGTAATTTATAAGACATTCAGATAGTCTTTCAGCTAAATTGTAACTATGCAATTTGGCAAAATTTTAGGTCCTTTTAATTGTGGATATTTATAACTTCATTGTTAAAAGTTAAACCTAAATAAATTCCACAGGATATCAATATCAATCTGGACTCATTACTAAACATAACGTTCCTCCACGTGTTCAGGTTCCAGTGCACGTGTTGCAGACACCAGCGCAAACAGAGCTGACGGTGAAGGGCAGTCATGGCTGAGTGCAGTCTGTTCTGGATTGTCTGGGCAGAGAGTCATCGGCCATATCGTCCTGCAAACCTTGACTGCAAATCTGTAGAGGACTGCCTACGGTTCCTAAGTGCTGACAGGATGAGGAAATGGTCTTCTTGGGGTGCCACCTTTTTTGTGGACGCTCACTTCGCGGCCTGTCTCTGACATCCCCCATTATATGGAACTTGGCCTTCAGTTTGCAAATGGTACAAGGGCTCAGTCCAAATAATGCTGCAACTTGGTTTTGCGGAACACCAGCTTGAAGTTGCCCTACTGACATGCCGATTCGTGGAGCAGACACCAACTGACCACTGTAGCAGGGCCCATGCGTACAGGTGCTGACCTGATTGTTAGCACCTGGGGAAGCCAGAAGCTCAAAACAAGAGTCAGTAGCAACAGCAAAAAAAAAAGAAAGCTGTTTGGCATTGGCAGAGAAGATTTGGCAAATCTTTCATGGGCGCAACCCACATACTCAGCTCTGCTGCTCATGCCACAAATGCATGTTCCTTACAAATGTGGCACCATTTAAAAGGGAAATAAACAGGCTTTCCAACAGTATTTATGGTCAAGAAGCAACAAAGAAATAATCTACCAAACACAGATTTCATTACTTTTTGTGCTTAGTTTATTTGATCAAAACTGCTTAGCTTTACCGTTTGATCTCTGTTTTTCCATGGTGGTTGTCAATGTCAAGGAAGGATCCTTAAACAGCTGAATTTCAAGGAGGCTATGTCATCAAATTCTACTATGGACCAAGTCCTTCCTTCAGAAAATTTTGAAGGATGCATGTGTGTATCCTCAGTGGGCATTAAGTACCCACAATTCTTTGTGTACAATTTGCAAGAATTGAGGGCAGGGTATCTTCAATGATGCACATCTGGGCAGGAACGTAGCCATCATTTCAGAATTGAGGAGGACAAATTGTTCAGAGGTCTATTGAGTGATTTATCATCCTCTCGCATTCAATTGCACCTTTCCTTAGCAGCTAAAGAACCACATAACCAAAAACAGCCACAGTACAGCACCAGGGGACCGACTTTAGTTCTTTAACATTATACTGTATACTATCAAAATCTTAAGTTTTAGCTGCCAAACTCTGGTTGAGTTGACACAGAATGACCCTCGAGCATCTACAGGGTAAGTAGCCAGATAATTGAGTGCCAAATACCTGCCTGGTTTCTCCCTGTCCCTCTTCTATCTTTTGCCATAACATAGATAATAAATGTGCAAAGCGTAGTAGTGACATAGCTGTGGAAATTAAGCTCAAAGTCACTTTTATGCTATAGATATTTTTTCTCAGCCAGTTATAATCTCTCCTCACCTGTGAAGACCCTGCATGATCATCCTTGCTACCCTGCTCGGGGTCATCCCTATGTTCCCCGGGTTCTGTGTTCCCTGGGTCCTATATTCCCAGGGTCCTATGTTACCCCCTATGTTCTGCAACCAGGGAACACGGTCCCTATTTGTTTATTTGTTTATTTGCACATCTTGTAGTACGATTATACAGCGGTTTCAAAAGAAAACAAACAAAATGTGTGCTGGAGAGGTCCGAAACCCAATCGGGCTTATCTAGTGGCCTCACCTCTATTATGCAATTAGGTTATTAGAATATAAACGATAATTTAAAAAAAAGAAACACAACATGAATAAAATGGACAATTAAAGTAAATACTAAGTAAAGAACACAGCATATATAAAATGAACAAGTTGCTGAAAACACACAAAAAACACAACATAAATAAATGGGACAAAGTTAAGTTGAAAGTAGAAGAATAAGGTGTCTATCTACTGAGGTACACAACAAAACAATACTTGAGTGATAGTCCAGGTCAGCAGTTGTTTACACCTCAGCAATGAGTTTGTTTTTTAATCTAGTTTTGAATATAGGAAGGGACGGAGTGCTAGGTGCTAAATTTGAGTTTTTATTCCACAGAGAGACCCCTCTGTATTTAATATTATATTATATTATATTATGGGGGAACATAGGACCCTGGGAACATAGGACCCGGGGAAGATAGGTACGGTCCCACCCTGCTCTTTCTATTGTGGCAATAAAGATTAAAAAAAATATGTGCAAAGCAATAGTGAGCACAAGTTCTGCGCAGAAATTAAGGAGGAGTGGGTTTACTCCTAGCATGAAACTAGCTAGCAAGCAATTTCACATAGGTAACAATAACATTAGTATTCTTGGTAACTAGCTTAACTTGATATATTGGCATCTGTTAATTAGTCATCATTTAGCAAACATTATCTATATGCAACAACATTACTCAACTTACACGGTTTGGAAGAAACTGCGCAAAGTTTTTTGCTTCTTGCTGGCTGGTTTGCTGAACATAGTTAACACACAGCAGCACTGCCCAGCAGCACACGTCTTGCCTGTGCGATTGATTCAGATCACAAGACAACAGCATGTGTATGCTGCCTGGCGCTGCCTACTCATGGTGCGTTTAAAGACGGCTCGGAAAAACATGTTACCACATGTTAAAAACGAAAAGTGCGGGGGACAGAGGGCACAGATATGGGAAGTGCGAGGGACAGAGGGCTAAGATACGGGAAGTGCGGGGGACATGTCCCACGCGTACCCCACGTCCACAATGCCCATGCATCCGGGCACTCGCTAGTTTGTTCCAATGTATGTTCACCAAATGCTAGAAAGGAGTCTTGTCTAGTACCTGTAGGACCCTACTTGGAAAGATCTGTCCTACCAAAGAAGCATCCTTGACATCCTCTTTTTACAATATGGGAAACAGTATGGCATGGCACCCACTTCCTGTTCACCCAATTCCCGTATTACAGCTAAAGAGTGCACTACAATATGTTTCTGAAAACATTTTAGGCAAGAAATAGAGATATAGGGAACAGACAAACTCTTGGTTTATATTTAATCAGCACTGCTTAGTTTTACTATTTGATCAGAGTTTGGTCTGAGTTTGAGAGTGAGAGAGGGACGGGTCTCTCTCTCTCAATGCACTTCTTTAGTCTTTGTGTCCGTGGTGGTGGGCATACAAAATATTCGTATAATTGCTCGTTCAAGCAACAGCCAAAGAGCCAGAGAAAATTTGAGATGAGCAGGAGATCTGGGTGCTGGTAAGATGGAAGAAAGTTTACCACAGTTCATTTCCTACCCACATTATTATGATACAAAGCTAGTTGAAAATTTGCAAAGTTTCCCTTTAAAACCCCAAAGACCACCTGTGTAATGGTGCATTGCCTATCTGAAAATAAGAGATTTTCCAGGACAAAATCAACACGTGGGAAAATTGCCTTTATTATGAGGGCACTGTTAAGACTTGAGGTGCCCAGAAACCCATTGAACTCACAGCCACAGCCTTGAGCAGTTATTCATTACACCAGGACTGTGCCTTCCCTTACTGGAAAATACACAGAGGGGAATCATCCAACATCTGTGTGGATGTGCATGCATGTGAACTTTTCTCATGAGAAATCACTCAATCAAACCACCACTGACATTTTCAAATTCAATACACTAATCTGGCACGGGAAATATGGGTATTGTGTGGCATACTCTAAATCCAACATGACATATATTTGGTATTTCCATCCCCACATTTGGAGGAGGACAAGCTATACAAGTGGTTACAGCCCATCTCGTTCACACATTACACAAGAAAATACTATTCTGAACCACAAGGATTAACACGACCACATCTCGCCCTCTCCAAATCTGGGCTTCTGCTATTGCGTCTGTTTGAGTGTTACCTCAACGTTGGCAGGAGGTTCAGGTCTGGCCCACGTGCGTCAAATGGACTGTCTCAAGGGTAACATAGGTTTTAAGTTTTCAAGTTATTTACTCCCCCCTACTTAAACTGACTAATTTGTAATCCTGCATTTTTCCAAACTGCTGTGGAGCAGAGTTTTTTACTAGAAAGCAATCAGCTGTGGTGAGGCTGGGACTGGGGAGCCAGACACACTGTCTGATACTCACTTACACAAGAGAACTGACTGGGAAATGTGGACTACTCTCAGAAGGTACAATGTTAATGATATTTCAAATTTGATTTTATCAGAAATTACAGAAAAGTTGACTTCCTGTCCTACTTTTTTACTGTGCTGGCATGATAAGCTCTGCTGATATAATGAAAATAATGTGAACTCATAACATACTTTTTGCTGCTACTTACTGGAGCTGTTGCGTCTCATAGATGTGGTTCCATTGGTCCCACTGACTCCGTTCTTTTTGGGCTGGTTCTTTGGCTCTGTCTTTTGCTTTGATGCCACCCCATTGGCTCCTGTTCCCTTCTTTCCTTTCAGCTGATTGGAGAAGAACAAGGAAGAGGGAGACTTCTAAAACATCTCTAAAAAGTTAATACAGCGCTGTATATAGATATATATTTTTGAAGAGTTCACGTATATATATAAAAAAAATATAACACAAACACATACATACACATACATACATACAATTTTACTCAGTATTTGTTTATATATATATATAAACAAATACTGAGTAAAATTCTTTCTATATGTACAGAGACTTGGCCAATAAACCTTAAACATTGAGGATATATTTTAAAAAGCTGGGTTCAGACTAACTGTCATTTTTCCATTTTTGCCTGTTCAGACAGTCACTATGTCAGATTAGGCAATTGTGAAGTCATAAAATCTTGCTGTGACTTGGCTGACTGACATGATGACTACACATTGGTTCCACGACCAATCATCCCTCGTCACACTACGTGTGTGATGTCACTGGATTATTCTTGTCCTATTTTTATTATTATTACATCATTATTTCAGTCATTGTGGCTGTTCATGTCCCAGCTGAAATGTTATTGTAGTTATGAAAAAATAACCACCAGACAGCAGGAGCCATGAGAATGATTTTTTTTTTTTTTTTTTTAGAAAATGAAAGGATTCTTGAAAGTTAAATGATAAGGGACTTTTAATTTTAAATGGATTTAGGAAGTGCTGAGTTAGAAATGATGGTGCATTGCATTAAATTTAACAGGGCAGATGGGAGTGGATTAAAAACAAAAATAGAAAAATACAGAGGGAATGAGAAATAAAGGCCTGTTTCTAATGTTGTCTGTTTCAAGTGACGCTGGTACCCTCTGCAGTTGTGGTGAGTAATGCCTGGTTCACACTACAAAACATTTTTGTCTGTTCTGACAGTCACTATTGTCAGATTATGCGATTGTGGAGTCATAAAATTGTGCAGTGACTTGGCCGACAGACATGACAGACTACACGATAGAAGAAACCAGGAAAAGCTTGCACAGTGATCAGATAAATGGAATGTCCACTCCAGAGGTTGATGGATGTCAAAGTTCCATGTTTAATGGTCCATCAAAAATATACAAAAAAGATAACAGGTGCGACCATATAGTGAAAAAACAAAAGAAACAACAACAAAAAAAAAAAAAAAAAAAAAAAACTGAACAGAAACGTTTCGGCTACACAGCCATCCTCAGTCAGATGACACGTTGGTCCATACCAATCATCCCCGGGTTACTCTTGTCCTATTTTCATTATTGTTACTATTATTCAGTCCCTGTGTCGGTACATGTGCCAGCCAAAATGTTATTGTAGTAATGTAAAAAGTACCACCAGATGGCAGGAGCTACATTTGAAGTACCGCATGAAAGCATGCAAGTCACAGAATCATCCACAAGTTCCTGCAAATGATTCACAATAAAAGCGTATTTAGAAAATGAAGGGATTCTCTCAACTGAAGTGATAGGGGCTTTTAATTTACAGATACAGAGATTTATCAAGGCAAACGGGAGCGGATAAAAGGTAAAAATATAAAAATACAGGGGGAATATTAAATAACGGCCTGTTTATAATGTAGTCTGTTTCAAATGAAGCTGGTACCCTCTGCAGTTGTGGTAAGTAAAGGCCCCGCCACAAGTTTTTAATTTTACTACTTCATATCCTCCACTATGAAGAAATAACATTCTTTGCTAGCTTCGTGCTAATGGCAGTACTGAGTGGGGTGCTAAAGTGCCTCTGCTGTTTCACCCCATAATTTTTCCCTTTTAACTCTGCTGTGGTTGCATCCCTAAAGGAAATATCAGAAAGGCTGGGGTGTTGTTGACATACAGTTGCCAACGGCAGCAGATCGCACTGTCTTTCTTTTGGTCAAAGTGACAGCTGTGATGGGAGCAGTTGTAAACGACATAAAGAAAATCAAACGTGCTAGACTTTCTGTGTGAACGTCATGAGGCGTCCCAGACGTGGCGTTTGTTGTCGTCTACTATGACACACTACTCGAGATGAAACGATGGATTATTGCGTACAACACTCATTGGCCGCATTTCCCAGATCCAGTTAAGAAGATCTTAGCGCTAAGAGCTTCTTAAGAACACTCTTAAGCCTCCCGTGAAAGACAAACGCGTTTCCCAGATTCGCACTTAGCTGAAGAAGATCTTTCACTAAGAAGGGGTTGTAAGATAGAGCTGACCCACTCTTAACAGTCTTCTTAGCGACCAAATGCTCACAGATCCAGCCGCGGCAGGCAAATTAATATTACACTAAGCAAGGATAATAAAACAGTGCACTGTATATATTTTGATCTATTTTATACTTCAGATTTGTATTGTTTAGCATTAATTGGTGACAGAAAAGAACGAATTTCATTCTGCAGGGAAACGCGTGTCCTTACTGTGCATATGACAATAAACACTTTGAATCTTGAATCTATATGTTTTATGAAAATCCTATGTGCGCTCAAAGCTGTGGCACAAGTTACGCACCGAAATCTGGCGGAAGAAAAATAATAATAATAAGAAAAATAAGTATCATTTATCATAATTTGTCCGCACATATCCCACATCTACATGCACATATGAGATAGTTTACCGCACCCAAAAAATACATCAGGGCACAACAGAAACACATCCACCCTCTAAACCTGCAACATTTCACAGATATCAGGCAACTGACAGGTGTGATTGAGCTTAGCTGGAACTTCATCAAGGGACGCTCCACCTGCTACTCTATATTAAGGCGTTGCCACATCACACGTGTGAGATACCATAGCTGCTTTACAGCATATTCTCGCCAGGCTGTCCAAATGAAGTACCGGCTGCCCAGTGCTGAGATACAACGCCTCATCAACTCAGTATCTCCACACATCCGCACATACATGTCACATTAACTCTTTTACAACTGTCAGTGTGCTGCCTGTGTTTTCATAGTTTATACCTGGCGTTTTGTCTGATTCTCAGTGTAGATTAATATAGTCCATAAATCTGTCAATTTTGTCCATCCGTGAACTGGTCATGTTAAGATGATCATTAGCAGAGACACAACGTTGATGTATGCAAGTAGCATACAATGTGGTCAGGATGCAATGCAGGTCTTTAAAGGAGTCATCACCCGGAAATCATATTTTTACTTGTTAATACGTGCATATTGGAGTTGGACCTCAGTTTAGAGGGCTGCTTTGGGATTGGGTCCCGCCGGGTCCTGCGGGACCCAATCCCAATGCAGCTCTCTCTAAATCAAATCTTGCGGGAGCGGGCGTTTTGAACTTTGCTGCGGGTGGGAACGGGTGGCTAAAAAAAACCACTGCGGGATCAGGATATAGGCTATAGCAACAGGATGGAGTTAACAAATGTTGTGGAAAAGAAGCTCAAACAAGGTCTGAAGGCGCACTGAGCCCTCTACTTCCCAGCGCTCTCAAAGCTGGCGCATTTCATCTTCAGTATCCCCGCATCCAGTGCGCCTTCAGAGCGGGCCTTTAGTGTCTGTGGGCGCATCTTGGAAGAAAGACGCACGGGATTGGGACCGTAGTCGGTCAGCAACATTCTCTTCCTCCACAGCAATATTATGGCCAAGTGATTCATTTGTTAAATTCATTCGTTTCATTCGTTAACTTTGTTTATTTTATGTTATTTATTAGTGTTATTTGAGCCACTCACAGCCTACTCTCGTTGCCATTTGTTAATTACATAAAGAGGCGTGATGATGCCGGTATTATTGAGCATAGGCTTTATCTTTATCTCATTAATGTTTCTTATTCAGGTCTCTCTTAGAAAAGAGATCTTAACCTTAATCACTGCGTGATTATATAAAGGTAGAAAAATAAATAAAATACAGAGGAGGAGAATAGAATATGAAACAGCCTTTATTTCATTAAAAACTAAATGAAAACAATGAAATAGGAGCGCTATTCCTGACCAGTGCGTCAAAAGACATGCAGGCCAGGGAAACGAAACAAACAACCCCATGAATCTCTTTATTAATAGCCTATAAAAATGACGTGTTTTCTCCTGCGGGACGGGAGAAGACACAAAATCAATGCATCTCTATTATTGTGCGGGCATAAGTTCTCAGAGTTTTGCGGGAGCGGGCGGGAGTGGACATACACACTGCGGGTGCGGGTGGGAGTGTAACACACGTTGCGGTTGTGGGCGGTAATGGTCAGAAATTCAGCGGGAGCGGGCAAGAGCAGTATGAAGAAAACAGTCCTGCACAGGGCTCTACCTCAGTTGAAAGTTGCCTGAAATTTTGGAGGATGAAAGTGGCTCCGTTTTTTTGTTTGGCCTCTTTGTTCAGACCATAAGGGTGCATGCTCAAAAAAGTGAGATTTTGGGTGTGCTCTTACAGTTACGTAACAATAGGAGGCTATTTGCCTAAGCCCGACCTCTCTACCACCACCCCCCACCCTGCCCCACCCACCACCTAAATCAGCCTGCACCTACCACCATTACCAACAAGGTGTGTAAAATGTCTAAACGACGCTCCCACATTAATTGCACCGTTGTTGGTTGCCACAATGAACACAAAAGTATTTTCAGCATCCCAGCATCGGTGGACCAAGCAACAAAGGAACAGTGGATACATTTTATCTTCAATAACAATGTTCCCGTGCCTCTTCCTTCCGCCCTTCACATCTGTGGAAAACATTTTTCGCCTGACAGTTTTTCAAATTTGGGACACTACCAGGCGAATCTGGCCTCAACCCTGTGTTTGGAGAAAGAGGCAATTCCTACTATTTGAGACTCACCAGCAGTGCAATCTGTAAGTCTCGCTGCTTTGTGTAACAGTTAACGGTATGTTTTACTGTGTACTTGACCCTGAAATGATGGTAGACAGCAGCTAACTGCTAATTGGGCTAACACTAGATGCTAACGTTATTCACAAGGGACTAGTATAACCTGTGGACCTCATGTAATTTAGAAATGACCCCCACATCTTTTGTTTTATATCTCTGGGGTGCGTTGTACTGTGGTATGGATGTTTGTAAACGGAGACCATGACGGGGGACCCCTGTGGAGACCCAGGTTCTCCGGCAGGTTCCGACT